CTGAGCTGATTATATTTTAATAGTTCTCTTCATTTTGGCAAGGATTTTCACAGCCTGAGCCTCTTTCACTAAGTATGAGGCCAAGTTTATGGCATGACAGTAAACTTAACACTTAGTCTCTCTATGCCTGTTCCTCAATGTGTGTATGTAAACATATACTAATTTGGAGAAAGATATATTAATCCTTGCCTTAAGTAAGAATATTATCCAGATGATTTAAGCAATGGTCTGAGTGAAGGAAAGCTGCAAGAGCAACAAGAAAGGACACGCTCTTGGCAATTCATCAGAAAGCTTGTAAGACTGCATTAGTCTCCCTTCTTGGCTCAATTCAGCACCTCTGGAAGTGCCTTCAGGGCTTCTTGGTTAGTGTGTATTTTCTCTGGTGTACACACAGAGCAATTTTTGAGGGTTTTGAAGGAGAATAAAAATTAAGTCTTTCTGGTGCTAGGAGGCTCTGGATTGCAGCGGGTTGTAAGTATATTCTTAAGATTGAGTATATGTTTACAACTGTGGGTAAGTTGGGGTATATTGATAGAAAGCCCAAACTTGATGGAACTCATGGGAATAGACTCCCCTCTGAAGAAATGTGCATGCATGTGAAAGTAATGACTTTCAAAATATTTGGCATTTGTTGTTTTCTAATAGTATGTATGATACAATGCTGAGTAGGGAAAAGTAATTTCCATTTCCATATCACCTATCTTAGGGCACTGTTGCGGAGGTCTGAGCTTTTCTTAACGTTGCTGCCCATGTGGTATGGTTGAAAAGTAAACTTCAGTCTGGCAGGCTTTCCATTTCCACTAATACTTTCTGTAAGCAGTAATCCTCACTCATCCTCTAAAATGGCACATTTAGGCTCCTGTTTTTGTAGGTGTGTATCTATGTATCATAGGTATCATCTGCATATGTGCTTGCAAAGGATAGAATCCTCTGCAAGTGAAAGCTGATCTTCCCCTTATTTCCTGTGTGATTAGTTCCTTATACAAGGTCTGCATGAAGAAGTTGAGACTATATTTTATTTTTTTTTTTTAGTGAGCACACTTTTCTATTAATCACTTAAAATAGTACAAAAGAAGCCTAATCACAAAACTTTAAAAATACTTAGGGTATTTTAGAGTATTACTTAGAGTAAATAAGAGTTTGAAAACTTCTGTATCTTTGTAGCTCATCAGAGAGGAGGGGTTTTGCCTTAGTCTCTGAGGCTGCTACTGAAAAATAGTGCTTCTTGAGTAACTACCTCCTTTAGGCTAGTATCTTAGAGAATAAACCTAACTTTCATTGTCCTAGTGACAGGACAAGGGGTAATGGGTTCAAACTTAAACAAGGAAGATTTAGGTTAGACGTAAGGAAGAAATTCTTTACTGTGAGAGTGGTGAGGCACTAGAACAGGCTGTCGGGAGAAGCTGTTGCTGCCCCATCCCTTGAAAGTGTTCAAGACCAGGCTGGGTGGGGCCTTGAGCAACCTGGTCTAGAGGAAGGTGTCCCTGCCCATGGCAGAGGGTTGGAACTGGATGATCTTAAGGTCCTTTCCAACCAAAACCATTCTATGAGCTTTTGATTCTATGACCGTGCTGCCGTACTGACTCTTCCAGTTTGGCACAAGACACGTCAACTGATTTTTACAAAAGAACTTATTCAGGGGTTTCCACCAGGACTGGTTATCAAAACATCAGGCTGTGCTTGCCAGCTGTTGCAGGGACATTGAGGAGAAGGTCGCTGCACATTTCCCTCCCAGCAGACAGCATTGCTGATCAGGTTTGTAAGAGAACATGTACCCCAGAAGAGAGTACTGCTTCAGAAAAAACTTCCTGGGGCTTCTGTTACAGCAGCACCAGCTATCACTTACCTGAATACCGGGCTCTGGCCTTTGATCCCCCAGCGTTTATGGCTTTTATAAAGTTTCTGACATTACCCATTTTTTGAGGCTGCTGTTGGCAAAGTGATACCAAACTGTTGAGTTGTTGTCTTCACGGGTACTTTGATCAGTAGCTGAAGTTTTGTAGCAAGAAAGCAGATTACCACACCAAAGAGAGATCATGCCAGAGTTTTTTGACCTTGTGAATCTTGTAGCTCCATTTATTACAGCTTAGAAGCCATAGTGCTGTGGAAAATAGTAATTTCAGCAAAGTTTTAAAATTCAGTATCTAACTGGGGTTAGGAATGTGAGTTTAGTGGTGGAGTGGAAAACACATACATTGAGCTATGTAAATAATTTATGGCAACTGATATAAAGGAATAAAGTTCCATTTTCTTTTCCCATGATGATTCAGCACTTGACAAATTGTTTTCCCTAGTTCCCAAGTTAATAGAAGCAGCTGCCTTTGGCCCTCTCCCTGCAGAGAAGAAAGCTCCAAAGTCAAGACCAGAGCAAGAAGGTAGATTATTTTTATTCTACAGTATTTATTTTCCTGTTTATTGTGTGTTTTCATGACAACCTATATTAGCCAAGCCAGAACAAGTTAATAGCCTTTGACGTAAAACAAAGGTTCGGTGAGTGTGTTAGAGACATTGTCAGGCCAAACCATTCTGCCAGTTCCAGTGTGAGAAGCTGGTTTTGTCTCCTTTTCAAAACATATATTAAATGTTTATAAGCCATGTACAGAAAGTTCAGCCACATTGAAACTCAACTTGCAATTGAATTTCATTTGCAATTTATTTCATAGTCATGAAAAAATAAAATCATTTCTACAGTCTATGAAATGAAACCATGTTAGGAGAGTGTGCATAGCACACAACAATATGCCAATGTCCTTCAGCCATATTCTCTTGGTTTTGCTCCCAGTCCTCTGCCAGAAGTCAACAGGAGTTTCACCTGAACAAGACTGAATAAATATTTACCCTGAATTTTAAACAGCTTGGCTGTGAATTTATGATAGTTCCCAACTCATCAGTGAGTCCTGTGAATATCATAGTAAGATGATACTACTTGTTCTTTCTCACATTAAAAAAATGATTGCAAAATCAGTCAGGGGAGCATACAAGGTCCAAGACCTGTCAATTTATGTACAGAACTTAAGCTTCTGCCATACCTTAGCAAAGTGCTTCATGCACTTTCAAACAGAAAACTTCACTGCCTGTTGGGAACTATAACAGACTGCAGTGTAGCTCTGGTCAAAGCAGAATAAAGGGCACTCCTCCCCTCTCTCATGGTGGGAAATATTTTCTCTGTGATGCACCGAATCATAAAGCTGACTATTAAGGACCTGCCTATGAAAGCCATAGGAAAAAAGCAGAATCCAAAAGAGAGGATTTAGAGATTATATTGAGCTGATGCATTTACAGGGCAGTAGCATCCTCTTGGGGAGTAACTAGACAAGTGGGCAGGGACTGAAATGCTGGGATTGGCTGTAGCTGAGATTATTTTTAGGACAAGCTGGGCTTCTCCACCTAAATACCAACAAATTCTTTCAAATCTTAAAGAAAACCAACCAAACCAAAATAGACAGATGTGTTGGCTGACATTAGGATAAGATTCTGAGGTTTTTCCAATTCAGAAAGCAGTAGTCTCGGGAACAACAGATTTATACAGTAAAGCTTTCTAAATAACATGTACTGCACTTCTGTATCTCTTGATAAAATACATGAAAAGAACAAGAAGGATGCTTCTTTCTGAAGAAATTCAGATGGCTGATGTATTATTATTCTTAATCTGATCTGTCATGCTTGCATTGCACAGTGTTTCTTCCTTTGCATGTGTAATGCTTTTCATCCATAGTCATGAAGGCTGTAGCGTGCTCTAGGAGACACCCTTTTTCAGTGTACTCTAAAGGTCAACTGATTTGGGCTATTACCAGCTCCATGTAGTATGAGTGTTGAGTGCTGATATAAAGGATTACTCCTATGGGAGGGCAGCTTCTTTCTTTCAATGGATAAAACTGGAGCTTGAGCATGTCAGCTGATTACAGCTATAGCAGTGTAACAAATGGAGAGAGGGGAACTCTGAAGTCGGCACATCCCAAACCATTAATGATGCTACAGTTCAAAACTAAAACCTCCAACTATGCCTGGTGATCAGCAGGCACTCAGTATACAGAAGTTGCAGCATATACACTCATGTGCAGATGGGAGATTGGCAGTAAAAAGACTCAACAGATTTTCATGTGAGTTAAAGAAAGAATTACTATGTAAATTTTAATGTTTTGCTTTTCTATTTCATCTATGTCAACACTATCTGAACTCAGATTGTATATGATTTTAGAATGACCTATACGTTAATAACCAGATGAATAAAGAGCAAATTATTCTACCAGTATTTACGATGTAGTGTTCCTCTTATCTCTGAGTCTCCATTGCCAATTTTACTCTTTTTTTCAGTTGATTGTAGCTTCAGTCAAGGAGTCTGTGACTGGAAACAAGATGCTGATGATGACTTCGACTGGAATCCTGCTGATCGAGATAGAGGTATTTAAATATCTGTCCTCTAGCTATGCTTTGATTTGATGGCTCACCCCCTCCAAAAAAAGTGAGACAGAGGGGAAAGCAAAATCAACAATTAGCTCTCCTCTCAGTGGGTTATCTTTAGAAAAAAGGGGCAGAGAATGCTGGGAGTGGAAATTGTTTCTTTGAGATGTCCAGTGACAACTGGTAATCAGCAACATATTTCGACACAAATTAATCAAAACGTGACAACTGTTCAGAAATGTAAGGCACAAGGCAATGGAAACCTTATTAGCTATGCATTGTGTCTCTCCAAGACTGGTAGGGCATTTAACTGCTCTCTGCCATTTAGATGGATATGGCAATGTAGTCACTCACGTGGCTTAGACAGCACTGTGATAACTGCTTGGAAATCTCAAACTCTGCAAGGCACACTAGTGACAGCATTCCTCAGAATGAGCCAAAGCCAGGGACCTATTCAAGAACAGCTGATACCTGACCTGATACCAACAGCAGGCCTGCTAAAACCTGAGAAAGAGCTCCAGGAGTGCAGTGTGTGACTGCTGTGTAGGTGTACGTGTGTGACTGAAGAAATTTACTTGAAAGGATGTCTCTTCCCCTGTGACACAGGCAATATTCCAGAATTTGCTGCAGTACGGTCCAGTGGGTCCTGCAGATCTTGCAGGCCACTTGCTCCAGTTCCTACACACGCATTCTCTCCCTATTCCCTCACAGTCTTTCCATCCCAGTCTTTCTTCACTAACCCTTCCTCTCCTGCTCCATATATTTCCTTCTCCCCAAGTCCCTTCTCTGTACTAACTTCCAGGAAGACCTTATTCTGACCTTACGCTGTCTCCCCAAACTTGTATCTGCTGGTTATGACTTTGTTTATGGGCCCAGATGTTTTATCCCTTTATCTGTTTGTGTATATCTGTCATTTCATTGGTCCCCCAGGATTTGAGGAACAAAAAACAAGTTCATTTATGAGTTCGTCATCACTATAGAGGACAGTGGAAAGAGAGTTATCCAGATCACGTACTAAAAGGGTCTGATCACAGAGACACAGCAGCATGTTTCAGGCTGTTGCATTTGGAAAACTGAAATGGTTTTGCCCTTAAAAGATGGTGCAAGGAATAATGACTGTAGTTGCCAGTGAAATATGAACTCATCTCCTCTGTAAACTGATCTGATTTCCAGCAGTGCAATTTTATTCCTTGCGAAGTATGCTTCCTGCTGCTTTTCTCCAGTCTGATTTTAAATTAGTCAAGTAACACAGCTTCCATGTATTTTCTCAGCAAATGTGTATCCAATTTGCTAATAATGGACACAAGACCATTAAAGATGCATTTACCTTTCTTTTTTTTTTTGCTTTGTTACAAGGAGATGGGTACTACATGGCAGTTCCAGCTTTTGTGGGGCACAAGAAGGATATGGGGCGCCTAAACCTTCTCCTCACCAACCTCAAACCAAAGAGCAGCTACTGCCTGATTTTCAGTTATCGGCTTGCTGGTGAGAGAGTGGGGAAACTTCGGGTGTTCCTGGCAAACAAAAAACCTGCTCCTGTCTGGGAGGAGAGCAAAGGAAAAGATGAAAGGTGGAGAACTGGAAAAGTAGAGATATTTCAGGGGGCTGAAACCACCAATAGTGTAAGTATAACACAATTTATAAGCCAACTGTCATAACCAACACAACAGCTCAAATTCATAATCCTCAAGTCTTCCACCAGCTGTTTTATAGGCATTGATTACTGGCAATTGAAAGGCTTATCTGAAATGGGAAACTGGAGCACACATTTTAGGAGAGAAAAAAGTTATTATCTGGTTGTAATTTCAGAACTGAATTACCCCACTTGGTTAGAACATTGATGCCAATAATCCTGTCATTTTGTAGAAAATCTGCATCAGGTCATAAATTAACACAAGCAATCAAAATCTGTCCTTAATATCTCATGCAACAGAGGCATACATACATGCCTGTAAAAATGAAAATTAGCTCTTTCATAGAAGAGGATGATCTCAAACCACATTAAACCAGATCATTAAAGCAAAAGGAGACATCATATATAATCAAGGGTGGGCAACTGCCTTAGGAGCAGGACATACTAGCCAGCAGGGAACACTGTGCACTAACGTATGCCTCTGAGAACTGCCTCAATCAGTACATCAGCAAGTTTTTCCTTGAAATTCTAGGGCCTGGTTCTCATTTATGTGACTGAACATATTCAGCGCTGTGTAAAGGCTTTTACTATATAATTGAATACTGTGAGTATAAATTAAATGCAAGCCCTTTCCAAGGTTCTTCGCACTGCTGGAATGATGTAGAAAAGCCCTTACATAAATGAGAATCAGACTGTAAAATAAAAACCCAGGCATCCTATTTATAAAAATAAACCTACTCTCCCTATATAGTATACATACTATACTATATACAAGTATAGTACATATAGAGAGTAAAAATACGTATAGAATATACACCCAAAACCTAACAATCCTAACAAGTAGATTGAAAATGAACAGTTGTAATATCTTCAAGAAATGAAGTGCACTCACAGCACATACTGTAATAAAACTTCATTATTATAATAGGATTTCACTCAATCTGATTATTTTTTTTTTTAACAATGAAAATAAGTAATCTTATTACCAGAATCCATTTGGTATTGTAAACCTCTGCAAGACATTATAAATCTAGTTCAAATAATACAGGGAAATTCTAAAAACTGCAAGGATTTAAGTCATAAATTCCTGTAATGTGATAAATCATTCTTCAGATATAGTATTATAACTAATTAACATTAGGAGTGCTAAATGGTTGGATATAGTACATTTTCATTGTTAATACGTCTCTTTTCTTATGACAGATCACTTTTGAATCAGAACGTGGGAAGGGCAAAACTGGAGAAATTGGAGTGGACAATGTTATACTCATTTCTGGTCTATGCCCAGAAGATACCTGATAATGGATATTTGAGCGTACTGGATTTAATACTATTTTTAATATTTGCCTTACTAGTAGTGTATTTTTGTATCATTTTGTTCTTCATAAAAAAAACAAAACCATAAAAACTGTGCATTGAACTTACTGCAGCAAAGCAAACAAAAACTGACATGTGCTAGATGCAGAGTACACTTGTATGAGTTATTCTAATTCTAATACATGCTTTGAGGGTAGCACTACTGTATTTTGTCATTGAAGGTCAGGGTTTCTAAAGTATTGTCTAGCTTTTTTTACGAATTCTACATGCTTTTATTCCTTAAAGTTCTTTTCAAAGCTATTCTTAAGTCTTCTATTTCACCTCTTCTACACTACAAGAACGTAAAGCAGCTTTTGAGAGGACGCTAGTACTTCTGGTGATGTAATTTTAACTTCTTGCTTAATGTGCAGACATTAAATCTATTCAACAAGTAAGAAGAAAGAGCTTTATCTCCTTCTTGATGGAGCTAAGCAAGTTCTAAGTGGAGTCATGTCTTCGAGGAATATTTTCTTTACTAATAAAGTATGCAAAATACCTTGAGTCATGCAATCACTGTTTAGAAATGATCCTTTTATAGCTTTATAAGCATTTAATGTTCATTGTTAGCATATGATGTAAGCAACTGGCACTGAAAAGGAAAAGGTAAAAAAGAATGACCCATTATTAGCACTTAGGAAACTTCATGTTATGTACTGACCTTCAGGAACAAATTGACCTCATGTCCCTTCAAACTTCAGCAAAAGGGGTAGAGACTATCTGCCATCCCCAGGAGCAGGAAGATGAGCAAAATCTTCTCCCACAAACTGGGAGTTGCCACCCCGCCACACTCACCCATGCACACACACACATACAGGTATTCATATACATATATATATATATTTGAGGAGGGCCTAGAATCCAGGTTCTACCTTTTATGAAAAGACGACAGTGGTGTGGAGAACAAAACCATCTTCTTCCATCTTGTTATCTTTTCTGAAAGTACCTACTTGTCCTGGGTTCAGCTACAGCAGT